CAAGGGATGGGGGGGGGGGGATCTCCCCGCCACTCCTGGTAGGAGGCAGGAGGACAAGCCTCATTGCAAGGTCAAAGAGTGGTAAGTGGATTGCGCGCTGCGGATCCATTGGTACAGTCGCGTGGTCTGCATCCGTGGTGGATCAGCGAGTGGACTGCCCGGGCCCATGGGGCTGGACCCTCGTAAATGCCACCTGTTAATGCACCATCGCTACTCCAATTCCCAGAATTCTCCGTTCTTGGAATTCCACCTGCTGGACACACAACAAAATTTATTTATTTAATTTATATTTATTTATTTAATTTATATGCCGCCCACACTACCCAAAGGTAGTGTTCACCCGGAGAAAAGCTGAAAGGCTAGGATTGGCCAAGCTCTGTCCTAGTTGCCAGTTAGAAAATGTAGTTGCCCCAATACATGCTAGGAATTCCAGGAATATCACATAGGTATAGGAATAACACATACTCTGACAAACAGATGTGTTTCCACCACTCGAAGGAGCACCTTTTCTAAAAACGTGCTAAATGTACTGTCTAGTCTGACCTTTGGGAGGGGGGAAGGATGCCTTCAGAACTTTAAATAGAACAAAGCAACAAGGGCTTTTACTCAAAGTACTGTACTGGAATTTAGAGGGTTCAAAAGATTGCAGTGGAAGGGTGCAAATCCACCCACTCTGAATGTGTATGCTACCTCCAACTGCTCCCCACCATCACCAGCACCAAAAACAGCACAAAACAGATGGACTCAGTTGGGACCAATACAGCTGCTGTGTGTTATCTCCACTCTTCTGGCCTCCCCCCACCTTTGCCAATCTTATGTGTACCAAAATCAACCAGAGAAGTCCGGCATCCCAAAACTGCTAGTTCAAGCTCTGCAAGGTAGAAGTTTGTCACTAATGTATGGCTGCAGGAGGTGAGGGGGAAAGGACTCCTCAAAACTGACTTTTGGAGGCTGCATGTGATCCATAGACCATATGATTCTCACTTCTGCTTTGGAGCTAGAGTAACATCACTTTGACTCTGAGTTAATATTGTTGGAGTTTTACAACCTCATCTGCTGCCTGTAGCTTGTGTGACTGGCAAGGCATCACTTTGACTCTGAGTTAATATTGTTGGGAGTTTTACAACCTCACCTGCTGCCAGTAGTTTGAGTGACTGGCAAGGACCTTTTCTGGACTGGGTTGATTGTCAATCTATCTAGCACCAACCAATCATTTCTTCTAGCGTGTGAATTCAAACAGAACCCCGCCTGTCTGCTGAGTGTTCCTTTCCTTCTCCTTAGTCTTTTGAAGGCAGTTTGTGTTGTCAGTTTGCTGTTGATATGTCCACAACTGTAAGTAATGGCATGTCTTTATTCTTTCTCCTACAAATGTCTCAGAGTGAGTGACTGAGACCTTAAGTGCCAGTTAATAAGAGAGGGGTAGACTCTAGGGAACTTGAAACTTTTCTCCTTTGTGAATCTCCGTAATTCCTCTGCTTAGCACAAGACATTTTTACCAGTGATTCAAAACTCTGCAACAAATATTCCAAGGAAGATTATTATGTGAACCACATCATTCTGTTTAGCTCCCTAAATAATTTATATGAGACATCTTGTGCAAAATTTTATAGTGTGCTCAGAACAAAAGTGGGGATTGACTGGAATTATGAGAAAAACCCAAATGGGCAGATTTCTCTATCCAGGCACAGAAATATGAGTGTTTCTCTCATAAAAGTCTAGGTTCATATCAAATTCCAGTACTGTATCTTCAACCTGTTAATACTGACTATGAGTTGCCATCCTTTTCACTAGAAAGCTCCTCAATCTTTAGTAACTCCGCGGGAAGTATTTGAGAAGTGATCTTCTCCACAGTTGGCCTTTGGCCAGTACATACTGGGTAGAATTTTGTTTCAGCAAAACAGAATTATTGGGGGGGGGGAAATCTGCCCTAAATCCCCATATTTCTTTATATTTAAGACAGAACTTGAAAATGTTTAAAGGTGGGAGAAAAGGAAATTTGCTGTTTTTTCTCAGTCCCGAATTCCAAGCTAGGGAAAATTGGGGTGTCGTCAGTTTTTTGGGGGAGGACTCCCCTAATCTGTCAGCTAGAAAGAAACTCGTGCAAGATCTGACTTTAACGTGACTCACTTTCTTTGAAACATAACAACTGGGTCTTCGAGTAAGTCACTGTAATCCAGCTTCCTTCCTTTCTCAATGACATCTCGATGCTTCCGGACAAACAGCCAGCCAATGTGTGAGAAGAAGAAGCCACGCTGGGCATTGTGGGGGTCAGCATCTGTCTCTGAGTATTTGTGATGTACTCGGTGGTCTCGGGCCCATTCAAAAATGTCATTCTGTAAGGCAAGCAGCAAGAAAGGTTCAGGGAACTCAGTCAGCATCCAAGACCTTTGGATGTCGGAAGGGGAACAGCCAAGGATCCCCTCCCTCATATTTCTGTGCACGTTACACCCAACCGTAAGCTGCCTGTGACAAACTGGGGAGGTCCCTCCCTGCATTTCCTCCCTGGTTTTTCCGTAAGGGGTAATCCTCGCCTTAGTTGCCCATGTACCTAAGGCTGGGCCAATTTATTTTGACACGTGAGGCAGAAAATCCCTCAGGCACTCGTTGGATTCAATACAACTTGGTTTTGAGTAGACATGCCTCATATGTCTTCTCTTTAGAACAGGGGTGGGCAATTAATTTCTATAGGGGGGCCACATGAAAAATCTGAACTGTGTTCGGGGGCCGAACCAACTTTACTTAAAAATAAAAGATAAGGAACTGATCAACTTTAGACAAAAAGCTATAAATGGTTTTGATGTTCAACTTGTTCAGTAAGAGAAATCCAGTCCGTCTTGGGCTTGAACAAGTGCTTGAACACCGGACTGGAGAGACGACCCGCGGGCCAGACAGGAGTGGCTCACGGGCCACACTTTGCCCAGGTCTGCTTTAGAAAGTAAAAATGTATACCAATCTAATAATCACTTGCTGATCTTTCTTGACATCCGAAGCAGCCTCCTGAGGCAATGTCTTCCACACTGACTAATAGCAGGGCCAGCCCTAGTTAATGTTTCAGATCACTCTAGGCCTCAGAATCTTTAGCTCACACCTTTGCCTTTTGCCATTAGCATAGCTCCCCATAGCAGAAGTGGGGGGGGGGACTTAAATAGTATCAGCAGAGCCAGTCCATTTGAGTGTCTCAAGTGATGGACAAGATGGCACCTTTCAAAGAGAGAAGAGAAGTAGACTGACTTGGTGGGCAACAGCGAACGTCCATCCTAACGTCTTTGATTGTGATAATTAGCCACCAAGATTTAAACCAACTGTTTTACACCAGTTGATGGGGGTATGGTCACTGTTTCATATCATGAGTATAAATCACCACAACAAGAAGTGATATACAGTAGGAACCCCTTATCTGTGGGATTAGTATCCACTGACTTACTTATTAAAGGTCTGAAAATATTTAAAAATATTAAAAGAAAAATTCTAGAAAAATGGGTTCCTAAAGGTGAGGTTACCAGAATTGGCCACTAGAGGGAGCCATACACACATGCTATGTACAGGTGTACCTCGGTTTACGAATGCCTCGGTTAATGTAATTTTTGGTCTACAAAGGAAAATCCATTAAAAACAATGCATCGGTTTATGAATTTTTTTCGCAATACGAAGCAAGTTATGCCAGGATGCATTGCGCTTAGGAGGTTTATAGTTCATGCGTTCCTATGGGAAACTACATTTCGGTTTACGCATTTTTCACAGTACGAAACGTCCTGGAGAATGCATTAAATTCATAAATCGAGGTACCACTGTATAGTGTTCTTCATTCACTATTAGAACAGCATTCCCTATAATCCATGTTTTTCAGCATCTGCAGAGGGGGCTTGGAGACAGGGGTCCTGCTGTATACATGAAGACAAGATGGAGCTGATTTGCTAACCTGAAATGCCATAGAGTTGACCGCAGCCAGGAATATCCGCAAAGGCAGCTTGGCTTTATAGGACCGATGACTCCACAGGCGATGAGCGCCGGCTGTCACCCCCAGGGCAGACATGAGGAAACACAAGTATGCTGAAAGGCAGAGAAGAGAAAGGGTGTTACCCATTATGCTGATTTTCGAGAGATACACTAGTCCCCTCACCCGGCCCATGCCCAAATCAGGGTGAACAGATTGGTGCGTGCCCCCATGTCCTTTCAATGGAATTCTGACCCACTCCTTGTGGTAAAAGGGCATTTTCAGATCACCATGCAAAAAACACTTTCCTGTGAACAGAGAAACATAAATGACTTGGAGAGGAGGTGGGACAACAAAGCACCATCAATTTCAGGGATACGGTAGACCTTATATGTCTCAGAGACAGACATCCAGGAGGAATGTACTTCTGCTAACAGTCACCCTTCTGGCAATGGTGCAAAAGTCAGCCGGCTGTGGTGTCTGCACAGAGGAAGTTACTTACCAACAAGTAGGAAATAAGGTAGCAAGAGGCGCGAGGAGAGGAAGACAGACTTTAGAGCACTGATTGTCACTTAGCCACTCAAAGCCCACCCAAGAAGGATGCAAGCATTCATCCACACGACGCACACTTTCAGTCCAAGCAGTGCAAAGTTTAATAAGCTGAGATAGACAAAAAAGAAGAACATTCTAGAATGTGAATCCTAGCTAGCAGTGATGACGCAAGTCCGTCTTCTATCCCTGCAGCTTTGCAAAATGGCTGGCCAAATAGCTACGAGGGGATATGCTGTACCCAGTGACATCAGCTGGAGCATATTCTAGCACTTCAGTGGTTGGACCATCCAGGAGTTTGAACTCTGTTGCCATTCCCGTTTTTCCTTTGGCATTAGCTGTCAACAGTCTCCCTCTGCATTCCTTTCTATTTCTCCTTCCTCATTCAAAATTAAAGTATTTTTTTAATTGTTTAACTCCACAAGTGCCAGATTAATCACAAAGGATTTCAAGGGGGGGCATACAACCAGCAGCTGCATGCTCTACTTTTATGTCATCCCCAAAACTACAAATATTTATTCATTTATGATATTTCTTTATTCATATGCCACCTTTCTCCCCATAGGTGACTCAAGGCAACACACAGCGACTGAAACTGTGGAATAGATGACAGATTTCAAATAATATACAGAAGAAGCCGTTTCTGACTGTTTCTACCTCTGACTCACATCTGATTCAAGCTAACCTCTCACGGACTCTTCATGAGACCCCATCTAGTCTGTTTTCACACATTTTGTCCAAAGACTGTATACCCATTACCCACAGTAAAATATATGCATATCCACTATCCATGGCAAAATATAGCTCACTTTCTCTTTAGTGTCCCCATTGCCAGGAGGTGGACATATACCCTGTAAAACCTGTCCATATGTTGTCTTCTGAGGCAAAGAACAAAATGGCGCCCCTACCATTCCACATTCAAATATCAACTAGACTGGCAGTGAAAACTCTCCTTAACATAAATGATGGATCAGTATCCTGCACCCCATCTGAAGGCAGAAGACTGACTGGAGAGCAGAGAGCAGGCTGTATGCCAGAGCATTCTGTCTTCCAACATCTTGCTGATACCTCCAAGCATCTGCCACATGACACACTCACCTTATTCTGTCAAATGCTAGAGACAGCCCTGATCACGTGTGTTAATCCTTGTAACTAGTATCACCTAGCCAGCTGTATGGTTGTAGTTTCACTGCCCTCCTCCATGAGGAGTTCAACAAGTATGAAGAGTGGGGGAGCAATCTCTGGTACCTGTGGACAACCGTCATGCGAGTCTAAACACAGCCCTGATCACGTGTGTTAATCCTTGTGACTAGTATCACCTAGCCAGCTGTATGGTTCTAGTTTCACTGCCCTCCTCCATGAGGAGTGCAACAAGTATGAAGAGTGGACAACTGTCATGTGAGTCTAAACCCTGGAAGATTAGAATCCAAGTCATGTGAGGAGGATTTGTGAATTGCAGAAGATCTCTTGCTTCAGTTTTGCCACTCTCCACTTATATGAGCACATACAACATTCACAGCCGGTGAACAGCCTATTGAAGGTCACACTGCATCTACGTTCTGGGAGAAAATTCAAGGCAGAGGGGATGAAGCGATGCAGAGAAAATGCAGACGTTGTCAAAAATCTTCATGCTGTGAAAAATACAGAATGTGGCAACCAAACATGTTATAGTGTGTTGAAATCTAGTTTTCAGATTTCAGACACTGTCCATTGATTCTACTAAAGTAGTGGCTGAAAATTTCCCTTGCCTGCATTTTCACATCTAGCGCAGCCTGCAATAAAACTGATGCGTAAGAAGTGACTGCTTCCTTTGCTCAACTGCAAATTCATCATCACCCTTCATGTTGCTGATGTCTTTCTCCCCGGAAAAACGAGATGTTGTGGACATAATCTGACCCTCCATTACTCAGGTTAAGAAAAGGATTAAAACATAGCTGGAGAAGCTATTTTTTTTGAGGACTGCAATTCTCAGAAATACGATAAAACCCATTTGGGGATGTTTTTGTTTTTTTTTTTTTTTTTTTTTTTTTTTTTTTTGAGGACTGCAATTCCCAGAAATGGAATTTGGAATTCATGCTTATCCTCCATGAAGCATGCTAGGGTTATAATGCTACAATTAACGGGTCTAAGCCAGATTGCACAAAACCAAATGCAGAAGTTGCTTCTCTGAAATCTGGCCATAAGATTGTGTTGCGTTGACACCACTCTAGTTCTTCCAGCACTTAAAAGTCATCAGATTATTTTCTTTATGCAACATAAACACATTGGTCTCTCTTACACAAGATATGTTCCATAAGATTGTGTTGCGTTGACACCACTCTAGCTCTTCAGATTATTTTATTTATGCAACACAAACACATTGGTCTCCCTTACACAAGATATGTTCCAAAAATAAAAACTTGAATCCTATTGGTGTTCATTTAAGGTTTGCTTAATTTGCTGTGGCTAATTGTGACTAACTGATGAGGTGCCAGGGCACATCAGGCACATGGCCAGGCATAAACAAGGCACCTCATCATTTAACTGCAATTTACTGCAGCAATTTATACATAGGTAAAGGTAAAGGTTCCCCTTGACAATTTGTCCACTCGTGTCTGACTCTTGGGGGCAGTGCTCATCTCCGTTTCCAAACCATAGAGCTAGCGTTTGTCCAAAGACAATCTTCCGTGGTCATGTGGCCAGCGCGACTAGACACGGAACGCCGTTACTTTCCCACCATGGTGGTACCTATTTATCTACTCGCATTTTTTTTGCATTTTGCATGCTTTCGAACCGCTAGGTTGGCAGGAGCTGGGACAAGCTACGGGAGCTCACTCCGTCGCATGGATTTGATCTTATGACGGCTGGTCTAGAAAGCTAGACAGCTTGTGTTCTCTGAGACTGGATTTTAAACAGTGAACTGGAAAATATATAATTAGAAGTGAGTCAGTAGTTGCAAGAAGAAATAGCAACAGAACATTTTCTTCCTATTTCCTAGCTCTTTTTCAGAGCTAGCTCCCCAACCCTCCAAATTAAGAGAAGAGTTTACCACAAGCCTCATCTTGCAAATATGTCCCTTCAGAAAGCTTCCTCCTGGATTTGTAGCAGGGGAAAAAATACAGTATATCACAGAAGTGAGTACACCCCCTCACATTTCATAAATACTTATATATCTTTTATGCAACAACATTGAAGAAATAACACATGGCTACAATGTAAAGCAGTGAGTATACAGCTTGTATAACAGTGTAAATGTTAAAATGTCAAAATAACACAACACGCAGCCATTAATGTCTAAACCGCTGGCAACAAAAGTGAGTACACCCCTAAGTGACAATGTCCATATTGGGCCCAAGTAGCCAAATCATGTGAAGATGTACTAAAATACTAATGAAATGTGAGGGGGTGTACTCACTTCTGTGATATATTGTATCTCTGCACATGTGCTGGTCTCAAAATTGGGTTATCATTGCTCTAATCATTGGCACTGGGATAGTTTCGTTTTAATGGAGCAGCTAGAAGAACTTAAAAGAAACCCCCAACATGGTTTTTTAAATAACAATCGATTCAATTCAGCGACAAAGCATGCAGGTTTAGAGAACGGGCTACAGGTACATAGTATAATAGGCATCCTTGTGTAACTGGGTTTCTGTTAAATGGCTACGTGCATACTGGGGGTGGGATGGAAAATGTCTGTCTGTCTGTCTGTCTGTCTGTCTGTCTGTCTGTCTGTCTGATACAGTATATTTGGCCTCTCCTGAACATAGCTTGTTTGTTTGTTTGTTTGTTCAGTCGTTTAGTCGTGTCCGACTCTTCGTGACCCCATGGACCAGAGCACGCCAGGCCCTCCTATCTTCCACCGCCTCCCGGAGTTGTGTCAAATTCATGTTGGAACATAGCTTGCTGGCAGCCTTACCTAGCTGAGAATTAAATACACTTCGTTGGATCCATATTTTGTCAGAACTAGTGTGACACTACCTGCATGCCAAATAGACGACCTGAACATTCATCTCTCAATGAGTTGTACTGCAAGGATAGGCAACTCAGACAGATTATGAGACCCAGGTTCCCCTCTCTTCCCCCCCCCCGTGTTTTTGGCACCAAAAAACCCAGAAGCAGAAACCCAAAGCGAGCAGTCCACTTCTCATTTTGAAAGGTGGATAAATATTTCTAAGCACACAGGGAGCCTACAACCTATTTAAAAGGTGACATAGCTGTCCTGGAGGTTTTCAAAAGCATCAACGTATCTTATTATGTTTCGGATATCTTTTTATTTTATTTTTTTGCTTGGGGGAGGTGATGTTTGCAGAATCCTGGGATCCAGAGACTGCAAAAACAGCCTTGAAGGCCACCTCTGTGTTCTCCCCTCCTGTATTATGTTGTGCAACTACAGTTCTTAGTTCAGAAGACATTTTTCTTCCATTCAGATTTTGGCATGCTTTTCTTCTGATTAAGCCCCAGGAAAGAATGCACATAGGCATTCTACTCTCGTTCCCTTTATCAGTCTCCTTGCCCAGGGCTCCCGCCGTTGACAAATGCCTCCATTCCTGAGCTGCTGAAATGTCTGAGAGCAGAAGGACACACATCC